AAAACAAAATGCAGCGTGGAAGCCACAGCAGCATGGAGGCTACCGTGGAGGCGACAAAGCAGCAGTATGATCACTTAAAACAGGTTTATGACCAGGTGGTCGGTGAGGATGATGGCAACAAGTTTGCCCGCCGGCTTTCAGTAAAAAAATCCGCACTTCAGTAACCTTAAATTCCTACCTCAGCCTGGTCCCTCAGTTTGTGTTAGTAAAATCTTCTTGAGCGGAGGTCTTCAACAGGGGATCCGCGACCCCTAGGGGGTCTACGGAGGTACTGCATGAGGGTCTGCATGGTTAGTTGATATTTTTATATTCCCCCCCTGCATTTTTTTCCCCCACTTATTGAAATGTCTTTAAATACTCATTAACATGAAATCAACAGACTGTAGTAAACAGATAAATGGAGACAAAAGATGTCTTTCAGTCATCAATCCTCACATTCAGCGACACACAGGAGCTCTTTCAAGCTGGGCACCGTTTCCTTCACAACACCTGTCCCATCAACCAGGAATCAGAATCAGAAAAACTTTAATAATCCCAGGGAGAAATTAATTTCTTTACATTACTCCATCTGTAATAGAGTGACTATAGGACACAATTTCATACAATATATATAGTTAGGGGGTCCCCGCTCCATCTCGCCATCAGTTTGGGGGTCCTTGGTCTGGAAAACATAGAAGACCCCTGTTCTTGAGGGTTTTACTATCCATGTAACTTGTTTGTTAAACCTGCCTGGTATAATTTTCCAGTATTCCTTTTTAGTATGTATTGAAATGGAATTTCAAATGGAAAAAATTATTAAAATAAAAAAAAAAAAACATTTGCACCTTAAAGACTACTTTCCTGTTTTTCTTTTAATAATTCCTCATAAAAAAGACCATTCAAGCAGCACATTTTAACTGATGTTTCTGAGAATATACTGTAGGGGTGAAAGCTGCAGCTGCTACTAGTGTGAAGTGAATGGACAGCAACAAAGCGTTAAAGCAACAATGGGGAAATGCTGTCCCCTCAATGCTAATGTAAACCCTGGTTGGATAAGGATTCAAAACTGGATATGAAGATGAAATCTGACGCACAGTTTCAGAGTTACAACTGATAAAATAATTGCTGTCTGTGGTTCTACAGTAGGCTATGGTGTAATGGAGCAATATATGAAAAAAAAAAAGAACTATGAACTAGTTCATTTTTTGGTTTTGAATTATGAACTATGAACTGAACTAGTTCATTTTAAAATGTGTGAACTGAACTTTGAACTAGTTCACGTAGAAAGAGAACTTTCCCAACACTGGATGGATGGATGGATGGATGGATGGATGGATGGATGGATGGATGGATGGATGGATGGATGGATGGATGGATGGATGGATGGATGGATGGATGGATGGATGGATGGATGGATGGATGGATGGATGGATGATGGATGGATGGATGGATGGATGGATGGATGGATGGATGGATGGATGGATGGACGATGGATGGTTGGTTTAATTATTTTTGTCCTAATATTATGACTTTATTCTCCTAATGTTATGAGTTTAATCTCCTATTTAAAAAAGAAAAGGCTGGCCCTCCATCGCACACAGGACTTTCCCACAGTGACTGCAGCAGTGCAAACAAAGAGGCAGATCCTGCTGCCAGCATCATCTCATTGATTATTGTTTTCATCCCTCCTTGCTTGTAGTAATAAAGTTGAGTTTCTCTAGTTTTAAAGCTACAGTGTGTAACTTTTAGCGACATCTAGCGGTCAGACTGCAGACCGCAGCAACATGAACATCTCCCCCCCACCGCTTCTCCCCCCCAACAGTACGGCGAGCGTTACGGGACAAAATGTCTTCCACGACGTCCGCATCACCTACCTTCTCAAGTGATGAGGTTTGTTTACATAGATAATTTTACAGATAGTATTTCATTAGTCTGTGTAGGGTATAGATTTCATGTAGACTTAAGATAATAAATATACCTGTTATTTTTTCTACATCGTTGTGACATTTTGGCGATCTCGCAATCGCTAGTTTGTTGGCTCTGCGCTGCCGTAGCGCAAAGATGTCTGCCTCCATGGCTGCGAGACCCGCTCCTATGTAATTATAAATAACGAATTCTAAGGCAACGCAAATATTAAGGTTAAGAGGCTGAGCTCGTAGATGATGATAAATAACATAGTTATGTATAATATATTACATTTCTGACTGTATATCCCTGTAATTATTACACACTGTAGCTCTAATCAAGAGTTTTTAACTGAAATCTATTTGACTTGGAGCTGAATGAACTTTATTAATAAACTGTGTTGAATTTATTAGATAACTGTGCAGAATTATCAGTTTGATTGGAGCTCGATTCACTGTTTCATCCGTTGGTCTAACAAACAGCCATTGAGGGCATGTTTATAAACAATACATGACAGTGAATATTATCTGGTTGAATAACATATTTAGCATCCCTACTGCAGTGGCCTGTAACTTTATTAAAGTAAATCTACCTGTGCAGAGAGCAGCAGTTCTGGAAGGTGAGCAGTGACAGAGCAGGATCTGAACTGACAACAGTCCTTCTACAGCTAAATTAAAACTGTTTGTTTTAAAGCAACCTTAAAAATTCTACGGATCTTTATTTCCATCGTTCTTCACCAAGGTAATATTTCTTCTATGTTCAATTTTAACTGAATAAATCTTTATCTTGCTGTACTTCTTCAACCAATGTCACTATTACAACAATTCCCTCAGAGTTTTCTAGCAGCAGGAGGAGAGAGCAGTGAACGCCGTCACCCGCGGGTGATCCACCACTGGCGGATTCACAAAGCAGGTTTAACAAAGTCAGACTCAAACCCTTAAACCTGAATTGATCTATCCTGAGGTTGGAAGATTCAGAACAGCTGCTGTGATCTAGTTTAACATCCATAGATCTTACATTCAACTCTGAGTGAACCCACTCAGAACTGAGTGTAACAACTATGAAAAGCCATTGTCCCCATGACAACAGACAACAGGAACTGCCTATTTCACACCATTAAAACTGAAAATTCAAAAGCAGAAACATTGCAGAAAGTGTTTAAAAGAGAAAGCAGCTAAAAAGGAGAGGGAGAGGAAGATTACAGAAGTTTATATGTTGTTGTTCTATGGCAGGTCGTGTTAACATTTATTCAAAGCACTCCTCTGCATTTAAATAGGATTCTTCCTGGACAGAACTGTAATGACACATTTTCTAAATTACATCTTTGCAGCAGAAACTGAATAAAAAAAAAATAATGCACTCATTTGCATTTATTTTGAAATCACCACACCGCATGATGTCACTGGCTATCTATTTTTGACCTCTAAGCCTCCGTGGTCCTGATGCAAAGAGTAGAGAGAGCAGCTGGAGGTCAGTTATTCTGAGCTGCTTCACATGTCTGACATCATATTGTAGTAATGATATCATAGTGCACAAGCAGTGAGGTCCTAACCATTAGTGATCCAAGTATCACCAGGGTCTGAGGGAAGCTTCTAGATCCTGTTATTGATGGATTCGATCCGGAAAGGGGAGCAGGAGAGGACTGATGTCATCATTCCCTCGTTTCTATAAAGGTGCAGCTGTAGTAGAGCAGCCTACAGTGTCTGGTTCCTCCTCAAGAACCTCCACGGTTCCTTCGAACTGCACCGTAAGCGGGAATCTCTGAAGCTCTTTTAATGTTTAGAACATCAAAGCAGAAACACTGAGGATGGATGGAGGCTGGAGGTGAGGTCTTCAAATAGATCCGCCGTACGAAATGAGTTTAACAGCTTTGACAGAATATAAGCCTGAACACAGGAGAGCAGCCGTCATCCTACGGGCTTCAGGTTCATCCTAATCAACCTAATACTAATCCATGCTGACTTTAGGTCTGACTGCTCTGTTTTAGGAGGAACCACCCTACCAGCACCCCCCCCCCCCACCCAATAAAGCCACACATCTTAGTTTTTGTGACTTATGAGGACATTTCTTTGACTTGCATTCATTTTATACAGCCTAACCCAGACCCTCACCCAGCTTCAGCTAATGGAGACCAGAATTTTGGTCCCCATAAGGACATAGGTCCTCATGACATGACTGTGTAAACAGTCCCCATACTGTCATAAAAACTAGTTCTGACACGCAAGCATTTTCTTCCTAAACCATTGACTGGGCTTGGCCAGAACCACAGAACCACAACCAAACAGGGAAAGGCAGAATTATGCTCCATTAATCCGGATTAAAGCTTATGTCTTGGTATTGGTTCTGTTAGTTTCTGTGAGTTTTCATATTCACATTGATCCATGTTTTTCTTTGTTTTCTAGCTTTATTGGTGTTTTCTGGATATATTTTTGAGTTCTTAGGATTTTCTTTGTTGCCCTCTGCTGCCCTCTGGTGTTGGTCTCCTTTTCCCTAGCACATTCTAGAAGCCTCTGTTCACACCTGCTCCCAATCAGCACATTAGTCCTCTTTTTTCAGTCTCCCATATATATAATCTCCCTGTGCAGTCCCTCAGTGCTGGATCATCATCTTTCTTCGTCTTTCCTCGCCTCCTTGTGCCTATTTTCCCTGATGCCTCCATGTTTCTGGTTTGTTTGGCATTTTCCTGTTGGATTTTTGGATTCCTGCCTCTGTTACCTGTTGAGGACATTAAAACTACAAGAACTCACCTCTGCCTCACCATCTCTGCATTTGGGTCCTTAAAACCTCAACCAAATCATGATGGCTTAAAGCTTCAGTTGCTTTAAATCTAGATTAAAAACCTGTTTGTTCAGATATGACCCTTAGTTGAATTAGTATAATGTTAACTTTCTGCACCACATTTAATTAAGAGGAATTAATCATTTTATTGTTCACCTTTAATAATTCAAAAGTAATATCATCCTCATTCCTACTGTGCTCCTGAAATTTGCTGTAGATTATAAAGCCGTGCTCAGCTGAATCCCCTCAACAGGACAATGGAAGGGGTCAAAGGTTAATTCCCAGCACTGGCCTTCCTTGGAGAGTTCAGAAGCCTCTCCCTGCTGCACACTCATGTATTGTGAGGAGCCACAATGTTTGGGCCTCTGAAGGGAGCAGCAGCAGGACGCATCTGGAGCGGCAGTCAAAACAAGCCGCAGCCCCTCATTGTTTTCTACCTCAGTACGGAAACGCAGGGAAGAAAGGAGCCATGGCTGCTGATAAACAACATTTCCGTCTTCAGTTTTGCTCCCAAACAGGATACGGGGCCCCAAGGATCCAAGCAGGCGATCATTTCTTCTGTGGCCACGAATGGACGACCTCAGACTGGACAGCACCCACTTCTGCTGCTCTTCATGGCAGTGATGTTGCTGACCTTCGTCCTGACACTCATCGGCATCCTGGGGGGACCATCGGGAGCCCAAGAGGAGATGCTGTGCACCCCTAAAGCCTGCCTCATCCTGCACATGAAGAATGTAAGTTTCCATGCTGCTCAGAACCGGTGCCGACATGACGGCGGGTACCTGGTGACGGTCAGAGACAGAAATGAGGAGATGGATCTGCACTCGATTCTCTCACTGAGAAAGAAACAGCATGAAGAGGAGGTGCTGAATATCTGGATCGGGTTAAAAAAGAACCAGGGGGACTGCACGCAGCCCAACAAACCCCTCCGAGGGTTCAAGTGGGTCTCTGGGGAGCAACTCTCCCAGTACTCCAACTGGAAAAAGGAGCCTGCAGACACATGCAGTGTGGACAGGTGTGTGAAGGTGGAGTACAGCTTTTCACAGCAGGATGGGCTCAGCTGGACTTCAGAAAGCTGCTTGAACAAAGGCGCCCCGTATGCATGTAAGTTCCTTTTCAAGGGGATGTGTTCCTCTCTGACTCTGCTGGGGCCTGGAAAGATCATCTATCAGGCCATCTTCTCCCCCCATCATCCACTGAACAGTGGGTTGAAGCTGCTTCCATTCGGGACCAGAGCAAGAGTCTTCTGCGGTGACCGAGAGATGGATTCCCCTCAGTGCATCCTTCAGAACGGCTCCTACAGCTGGACCCATCCAGGACCGTTCTGTAAACCGGGTCCCAAAAGCTGTGGGCAAAACAATGGCGGCTGTGAACATGAGTGTCGACCCCAAGGAGAAACTGCTCAGTGCCTCTGCAGAGAAGGTCATGAGCTGGACGAGGACGGCTTCTCCTGCAGAATAGAAGATCCATGCAGACCAGGTCTCTGCGAGCACCACTGCCTGCCGGGGAAGACAGGCTTCTCCTGTCAGTGTCCCAGTGGGTTCAGACTGGCTGAAAACCAGCACAGTTGCTCTGACATTAATGAATGCATCTCACAGGCCTGCGAGGGCCACGGCTGTGTCAACACCCCCGGTGGTTTCCACTGCGTCTGTGAGCAGGGCTATGAGCTAAGCCAAGGCCGCTGTGTGGACATGGACGAGTGTGGCGCTGCGCCCTGCTCCCAGCAGCACTCATGCATCAACTCTGTGGGCAGCTTCCAGTGTGTGAAGCTGTTAACCCAGGGGAACCAGGAGACCCAGGGGAACCAGGAGACCCAGGGGAACCAGGAGATCAAGGAGAGAATCACAGCCGCCCCATCCCAGTACGGACAGCCCCCCATCCTGACCCACACTGCCACCCCACTGTCTGACCTGGTCAATGTCACAGACCAGAACAGAACCCAGTATCTGGTACCGGGTGCGTCCACAGGGAGCAGGGTGCTCGTCTGCATCCTGGGCTCGGTCATCCCTCTGCTCGCCTTGATCGCTTTGACTCTCTTCATCACCATCTTCCGCTGCAGCCGCTCCAGAAAAGAGCTGAAGAAGAAGCAGAGCACCGCTGATGGCTACTGCTGGGTGCCTTCAGGTCTGGACCCACGTCTGGAGAAGCTGTACGAGTCCATCGTGGCTGATGACCTTTGACCCGGCAGGGGAATGTGGAACTATGCTAATTTCTGAGGAGAACAGGCTCAGCTTTTGGACCTTTAGTCTCCTTGTTCTGTTCCTGGAGGCTTCAAAGCTCTAAAATGTCTCCTTCAGAAAAATTAATCAATTTATGTAAGATATGAAACCTTTATTATTGCGACAGTTAGATTAGCTTTCACCTCTGAGACAGCAGCCAATGACTACACCACTTCATCTTCATTCTCATCTTCAGCACCATTCAATAATTTCTAACCATCAGAATTCATTTCGTAGGTTGAGATAATAAGATAAACTTTCCTCCATCATCCAATTCGATTCTATTATTTCTATAGCGCTAATTCACATCATGTCATCTCAAGGTGCAGCAACCTTAAAAGCCTTTGGTACATATCCCTGTAACAGTGATAGATTAATCACATCTAAAATGGCGGAGGAGATCAAAGGGAATACCTCCTTAAATAACCTGGTTGGAACTGGATCTAACATCCAAGGCTTAGATGAAGACAATAGTTCTGCTAACTCTGAAAGTTCAACTGGATCAAAGCAGTCTAAACCCGGTTCAGATTCCATGACTACCTCAGGTACAATCACGGATAGAGGAGTGCTTATGATCTTATTTTTAATAAGATCAATCTTATTCATAAAGAATCCCATAAAATTATTCCTGCTAAGAGCAGGTGGAATGGACGGTTCAACAGAGCTATGGCTCTGGGTGAGTTTGGCAACTGTATTAAAAAGAAATCTAGGATTATTCTTATTCTCCTCTATTAATGAGGAGAAATATGCTGCTCTTGCTTAACAAAGGCTCCTCTTATACAGCAGTAAACAATTTTTCCAGACTAGGTAGGACTCCCGCAGGCCTGTGGAGCAATATTTTCTTCCCAGTTTCCTAGCATTTTGCTTCAAAGTGCGCAGCTCTGCATTAAACCAAGGAGCCTTTTGCACTCTGCAGCACTGCTCAGCGACACAGAGGAGAGAGAGAGTAAAACAGATTCTTTACAATTTATAACTGTACTATCTAATAATGGTCTGCTATCATCCATCATCCATCCATCCATCATCCATCTATCCGTCCATCCATCCACAATAACATCATAGCACTGGATGCCTGTTTCTGGTGGGGGTCGGGATGTGTTGGGGTGGTGAGTCCAAAATATCCTCAGCTTGTTCCCAAATCCAGGATCCAGGAAGTCGCTTCCGTTTCCTGTCTGCAGTCAAAAATCTGAATGTTTCCAAACAATTAAAACTTCAAGAAGAAACAATTTTATTAATAAACCATAGAAGTTTCCTTAAAGTGGTTGGTTAATAAGTTATGGTTTTGAACATTAGTGGTACTGTTTTGTTGTATAAAGATTCATGCAGCACTCTGTTGCCATAGCAACAGAGGCTGTATTTTTTTTTAAATAAAGGTTGTTTGCTTTGAATCCCCTCAGTGTTTCCTGTGATTTCAGGTCAGAATGTTCGGTTCTGATCACAGAGCCGTACAGAAACACGCGCTTCCTGCAGCAAAGAATATTCTCTTATCTGGTTTCCTTCCTGGTCCATAGGGACCCAGTTTTCCGGAGCTGGACATGCTCTGACAGGCTCAGAACTTTTCTGAACCAGACGGGAACAAAAGCAGCTCCCAGAATGGCTGCTTTGTTGTCAGCCTTGTTATTCGTGGCCATGGAAGCAGGTCTGGGGCTGAAACAGGCTTGTCTGCCGGTGTGTTCTGGAGATGACTGCATCACTGTGAACCGGGCCAGGCTGGATTTTGACTCTGCAGAAGAAGTTTGCCGTCGGAAGAACGGGGAGCTGCTGACCCTTCAGTCTGACACCTATCAGCGGATCTTTAAGACACTGGCTGAAGCTTTGCCTGGAAACTTCTGGATAGGACTGCGTTTATCAGGGGGATCCTGCAGCAACCTCTCAGAACCACTCCGGGGATACAAATGGACCTCTGGTAGTGAAAAAAAAGCCCTTAACTGGTCTGCTGTGATCTGGGCAGATGAGCGTAAAGTCTGCCCTCCATACTGCGTCTCTGTGTCTCAGCATGGGACATGGACCGAGAGGGCGTGTTCTGAGAAAGCAGACGGGTTTCTGTGCAGAACCAGAGAGAAGAACTTCTGCTGGGAGAAGGAGGTGTTCTTTAAAGATTCCCAGGGATGTATCAGTGGTCCCTGTCAGCAGAAGTGTAATGATACAGAGGGAGGATTTAAATGTTCCTGTTACACAGGATACATCCCGGACAGCAGCGACCCACGGCGCTGCAGGGTCCACTGTCCAGAGCAGAGATGTCCGTCTGTCTGTCCTGAGGGCTGCCTCTGTCCTGATGGCTTTGTGGAAAATGAAGGGATGTGTGAGGACATAAACGAGTGTGAGAATCACGGCTGCCACCACGGCTGTGTGAACACCTTTGGGAGCTTCTGGTGCTACTGCAGGCCTGGTTTCCATCTCAAAGAAAATGGGAATTGTGTCGTAGCAAAAAGTCATCATCCTGCTGAGTTAATGACACCAACCCATAAAAACACCACCCTGAAGGGCTCCTCAGCCCCTGCAGGGCCCTTCCTCTGGATCTGGGTGGTGGCTGCAGTGACTCTGGTGGCAACTGTGGTTCTGGTCAGACTTTATGTTGTTCGACGTCAGAAACGTAGAGAACGAAGTTCCAGCCAACAGCTTGCGGCTGCGGCAGACCATCAGGTCTGTTAACCTAGGGATGGGTGTGTGTTTCTCTGTGACCTTTCCTGCCTGAAACCTCCAGGACTGCAAGGAGATCTCCAGGACCTTGAGGACACCTTCAGGAGCTCCAGGACCTCCAGGAGCTTCAGCCAGTCGGTAGACCCAGGAGATCCTGCCAGGATCTACAGACTGACTCGTTAGCAGGTCACCTCTGCTAAGGAAAGAAGATGCTTCTGCTGGATGGTGGCATTTAAGCTGTTCCTAACACATCCAATGTCTTGAATAGGTAAGGAGTGCCCCCTGGTGGACACTCTACAGCAGGGCAGAAGTGGGACTCAATTTCAGGCCTGGAGCTTCACACCCCCTAAAGATACCTTTTATCAATAAAAACCGTATAACTGTAAACTTAAAGCTTAAGTCTACTATATCCTATTTTTCTGTAAAGGCTTTTGATTCTGTGCATTTTTCTAAAATACTCCTAATAAAGAACAATGCAGATTTATTCAAACATGATGCAAATTGCCAACATTTTTCTTTATAATATTAATAATATAAGAAGGAATATTCTGTTCAATAACTTTTCACAGATATCAGAACCTAAATAACTAAATACTAATATTTCACTCTTCCTCCTGCTTCTCTGGACTCTCCTGGACCTGCATCACATAAACAATATTCATCTTTAAAGTTTTAGGAAATTCACAATGCAAAACACATTTCAACCAATTACGATTTTTCAAGTGATAAATATTCAGATTTATTTAATCTGATTATTTAATATTTAATGATATTCGATTTCATCTGTAGTTTTTATGTTTTTATTTTTAATGCTAATAGATCTGCTTGTTTGTTCACTCGCTGTGACAGCAGCTGGTCCTCCATAGGAACAAGATTCCCATCATCACTGCTGCTTGGATTAAATTACTCATCTGCTGAGCATACTGAGCTGCACTATTTAATATTCACTTCATGAGGAAAACTCATGGCTGCTATATATGGAAGGCCAATTTAATATTTGCCTGACTGAATATGTATTTCAGATATCATAATGTCATTCCTACTAGTGTAAATGATGTCAGGTTTCCCATTCATGTGTGTTGGCCGTTTACTTCCAGGTCTCTAATTCTGAATTCTGCTGAGGATTAACTTTAATCTCAATTCTCAATAATCCATAAAGATGATTTCTGATATCAAAAATTAATATAACATGAACCTAGAGATTGATAAATTTCACTCAGTCTGCATTTTATTCCATGTTTGCTAAGACAGAACAGGATCATTCAGCCCTTATTGCATGGTAATCAGCCCTGTTCTGATCTAGACAGAGTTTTCTCTCCTTAACCTGCAGGAAAGCTGTGAATTTCTCTACACCTCTCTACCCAAAACACAGACAGAGAGGTAGTTTGGACAATTAGTCTAAATGTTAGGAGAACTACCTCATATTATCCTAAAAGTATGTCTGGTTCTAGGAGAATCCAACCCAGACTGTCTACGAGGTTCCAGAGACGCAGTCCTCCCAGGTTCCTGCTGCAGAGACGTCGTCCCCCCAGGTTCCTGCTGCAGAGACACCATCGTCCCAGGTTCCTGCTGCAGAGACACCATAGTCCCAGGTTCCTGCTTCAGAGACGCCATGGTCCTAGGTTCCTGCAAAAGAGACGCAGTCCTCCCAGGTTCCGGCTGCAGAAACGCCATCGTCCCAGGTTCTTGCTGCAGAGACACCATCGTCCCAGATTCCTGCTTCAGAGAAGCCATTGTCCCAGGTTCCTGCTGCAGAGACACCATTGTCCCAGGTTCCTGCTGCAAAGACAACATAGTCCCAGGTTCCTGCTGCAGAGACACCATCATCCCAGGTTCCTGCTTCAGAGAAGCCATTGTCCTAGGTTCCTGCAACAGAGACGCAGTCCTCCCAGGTTCCGGCTGCAGAAACGCAATCATCCCAGGTTCCTGCTGGAGAGACACCATCGTCCCAGGTTCCTGCTTCAGAGAAGCCATCGTCCCAGGTTCCTGCTGCAGAGACGCCATTGTCCCAGGTTCCTGCTGCAAAGACACCATAGTCCCAGGTTCCTGCTGCAAAGACACCATAGTCCCAGGTTCCTGCTTCTGAGATGCCATCATCCCAGGTTCCTGCTTCAGAGACGCCATCGTCCCAGGTTCCTGCTTCAGAGACACCATCGTCCTAGGTTCCTGCAACAGAGACGCAGTCCTCCCAGGTTCCGGCTGCAGAAACGCCATCATCCCAGGTTCCTGCTGGAGAGACACCATCGTCCCAGGTTCCTGCTGCAGAGACACCATTGTCCCAGGTTCCTGCTTCTGAGATGCCATCATCCCAGGTTCCTGCTGCAGAGACGCCATTGTCCCAGGTTCTTGTTGCAGAGACATCATCCTCCCGGGCAGTGTTGTGCCTGAACGCGTTCATTGAACGAAAGTTCATGAACTCGTTCATATTTTGGGCGAACGTGAACTGAACGTACTGCATTATTGCCTCGTGAACGTTATTGTGAACTCGTTCATTCTGGTGTCTGTGAACGGCACGCTCTCTCAGTTCAACTCCGTTTAATAGGTTGCCAGATTTCTATAGAGCCCTCCAGGCGAAACCCCGACTAAATCACACCGTAAATAGGCCTTAATATGTAGCGGGAAAAACACCCAATCTGGCAACACCAGCTACCAGCGTCGTAGCCTACAGCCGCGTGCGTCATCAAAACAAAATGCAGCGTAGAAGCCACAGCAGCATGGAGGCGACCGTGGAGGCGACAAAGCAGCAGTATGATAGTTTAAAACAATTTTATGATCAGCTGGTCGGTGAGGAGGATGGAAACAATCTAACATTTCTCTGCAAACTTTGCCCGCCGGCTTTCAGTAGAAAAATCCGTACTTCGGTAACATCCAAAGCAAATCTGAAACGGCATATAGAACTAAAGCACCCGGCTAGCCTCTCAAGGTATGTGCAAGCAGCTAAAAAAACAAAAGACAGTCAGGACAGATCCTCGAGCCAAATACCAATAACTGCGTACACTAGCGGCTCCGTTGTCATCTCCCAGCCGCAGGTGAACAACCTGGTGGTGCAGTTTATTGTTGGAGACCTGCAGCCTTTGAGCAAAGTGGAAAGCCCAGCGTTTATAAACTTAATTAAGGGGTTGCAGCCATCCAGACAGGTGCCATCAAGAAAACAAGCACAAACACTGTTAAATAAAAAATTTACAGAAAAAATATCTGAACTTAAAAGTGAACTGTCTGAGATTGATGCTGTGTGCACAACAGCAGATCAGGCACGTGCAGAGGGGGGGGCTAAGGGGGCTTGAGCACCTGCCCCTTTTGCTCCATGATCCCAATGTGCCCTTTTGGTCCCTTTTTTTTTTTTTTTTTTTTTGACACATGTACTGAAATTATTATTATTAGCTTTTTTTTTGGCAAGAAAAACAATACAATAAGCCCTAAGGTCACATTGTTACCTTTGACCTTTTGCCGGTGACGACGCACTTGCCTCTCGCACAGTCAGATAAGGCGGCTAACTGCGGAGCTAAAGGTAGAGAACATTCCACATTACACTGTGGCCGCTGCTCATTTGGCCCTAAGCAAGATCAACCATGATCTGACGGATGGCTATGTCTTCAGTCTGCACCGCCTCTCCAATGTCAACCTGAATAGAGATGTAAGTGAAACCAAATGAGCCCCATGGATGATGCAGTATTGTTTGATCTAAAACACTATTTACTCTGTGCTTTTAGTCTTTTACATTGAAAATTATGTTTTTTAATTCACAAAAAACTGTTCTGTAATGATTACAGAACAGTTTTTTTGTGAATTAAAAAACATAATTTTTGGTGAAAATACTGGAGTAGGCTTCCTACTTGTCAGACAACGGAAAACTTTGAACGTTGTATAATTTCTCTACTTTAGCAAAGAGTAGCGGTTTAAACGGAGGAAAGTATAGGACGCGGCGCGCCTTTCTCTGAAGAACTACTGAGCGGGAGGAGACAGCCAGGTGAGGAAAAGCTGTTCTTATCTATCGATTCAGTATTTTTATCATACAGACATTAGGCTGTTGTTCTTGTGCTATGAGCTAGCTGCTAGCTAATGACTTTGCTAGCAAAACAAGATACCTAAAAAGCTTCCCTGTGTCGTTAATGACAGTAGGACATTCTTCAGTATTACTTATGCAATAGGGGCACATCGCCCGTCAAAAACCTATCATCTTCATAATGGATATATGTCTGATTTTCTAATTTCCTTTGCTGCATGATGTACATTGCATTTATTCTAGCGTTAGGTAAATGTATCTTGAAGGAGAACTCATCCAGAACTACCATGAGAGATATATGATAGATATAATGTATGAAGCTGGTGAAAACAAAACTGTGCAGCTTATGCAAGGAGGATCGGTTTTCAGACCTTCTTTTGTTGGCAATCGAGAAGGATGTGCCAATCATTCACTGTGAGGTTATTAACATTTTTAAAGACATGGCTAACAGAAAACTGCTGCTGTGAACAAAAGAGAACAAAAATAGCAAAAATGCTTAAAAGTTGGACATTTTTTTTTAAACTGTTAAATCACCATGACGGAAAATAAGTTTTTGGATCATAATCTTAGATTTAGTTTGGGGGAAAAAGAAAGGCAAGAGACTGAAATAAATAAGAGATTGACCTTCACTCAACACAGAAAAGATGAGACAATGAGGAAAAAAAGAAAAGAGAAACTGACAAGAAAAAACGAAGAGGAAAGATTGAAGAAAATGTATATAGGTACTTACAAAATACACTAAGACACAAACAGAGTAGGCTTTTCTCATGGTGACATTCATTAATAAAATGTTTGTTTTGTTCTTTTTTTTCTGCAGTTCCACATTAAAGTTTGATGCAGCAGCTCTGCTTTTCTGAATGGACCGTCTCCATCTCCACTGTCAGTACAGCAAACCAGGCAGACATTCTTTTTTATAGATTACAGTACACTAAAAGGTTGCATTGTGCCCTTGTATGCATTTTTAACAGTTTAATTCTGTAAAGACAAAATATGTCTGCTGGTCCAGCTCTGATTTACATCTTTGGCTAAATTGCAGGTTTGAATATTGTAATACTTTCCTATAACAAAATAGACCTGCAGAAAGAAATTACTAATAAAATATTTTACATATGCATAGTTCTATGTTCTATGTAGAGATTTCCCTTAGCTTTGATTGTATGTCTCACAATTTTGTAATTTATCATTGTTCATTAAACTCTGAAAGCTATGTGACTTTGTTAATATTCTGTCCTAAAATGCGATGTGCCCTTTTTTTTTTTTTAGCACCTGCCCCTTTAATGGTCTCTGCACGGCCCTGCAGCAGATTGCTGGTCAGCTGTGAACAAGGCATTTATGGGAATCACTATCCACTGGCTAAACAAAACTGACGTGTCTAAGAGACACTCTGCAGCAATGGCATTTCGTCGGATTAAAGGAGCACATACACATGACGTGTTGGCAAGATTATTTTCAGATGTTAATAAAGAATTCAAAATCCACAACAAGGTTGTGTGTCCAGTAACAGACAATGCTGCAAATTTTGTCAATAGTTCAACTGTTTTGGGATGGATGTTGTTATTGATGCTAAAGCGCCAGAGACAGTTGAAACTGAAAGTGAAGATGACAGTGAACCAGTATCAGCCTTTTCTGCTGCCAATGAGAGCTCAGATGAAGATGAGCAGATGGAGCCTGAGCCTCTCTCAGATCTGCATCATCCCTCTCTCCCCCCACACAGAAGGTGCATGGCCCACACCTTGAATCTAGTGGCCAAAGATTCGGAAAAAGTAACTGAAAAACGCTACAAAACAATGTCGAGGGCTGTTTTCGCAAAAGCATCTGCTCTGTGGAACCTGGTTAAGCGTAGTACAAAGGCTTCTGATGTTGTGGAGGAAAAGCTTGGGATTGGCTTTGTTGTGCCAAATGACACAAGATGGAATTCAGTATTTCTTGCCATAGAGCGACTATCTCGCATAGCAAAACTAACTTCCAAGGTAGAAATGAATGTGGCTGAGGTAACCCCTGAAAATGATGCCACTCCCCTACATGATGAGCTAATTTTGCACACTGTGAGTGATGAGTTTGGCTTTCGCCGATTCTCTCCACAGGAAGTCAACTTCATACACAAGTTTGTGGATGTGATGAGGCCATTAGCACTTGCACTTAACATCCTCCAAGCAGAGAAAAACATCTTTCTTGGCTACCTGGCTCCAACCATTGTGCAGCTGCAATGTGATATGAATGACCTGTTGGATGAGAGCAAAAAGCCCACTGCAGCAGATGGTCTCATTACATGCCGACCCCTCATAAAGAGTATCTTGGAGTCACTGAGCACAAGGCTGGCAGGTCTTCTGGAGAAGAGGGACCACATACTCTCTGCTATGCTGGTGCCAAGATTCAAGCTAGACTGGGTCCACGATGAGGAAAAAAGAAAGCAGTACAGATTGATGCTGAAAAGAGAATTTCAAACCCTCAACTCTGATGACTCAGCTGCAGGAGACTCAGGTCAAGCCCAGTCCAGTGGTAAAAGTGACAAGAAAGATCCTGCAGCATCATTCTTCAGATTTAACAAAAATCCTGAGGCTTTAAAAAAATCTGAAGTGGACACCTATTTGGATGCTCCAACCACAGATGGGTTTGATGAATTCATGCAGTTTCCAAAGCTCAGAAGGCTGTTCATAAAACACAACACTGCCCTGCCCTCAAGCGCTCCAGTAGAGAGGCTCTTTAGCATCGGTGGTCTAATATTCAGGTAAGAATAAAGTGTGATTATATTACATAATTAGTATTCTTTGATAATAAGCACAGTAAATACCCAGCCTCAATAAAAGTTCTTGGTGATATTATTCTAATTCAGGTTTTTAATAGGCTATACAAATTAGGTCAAATTATGTCAGTGATTGTGTTAGTTCACAATTGCTTTAATACAGATTAAGTGTTACCATTTTTGCCATAATAATCATGATGTTCAAATTTCTTGTTATCTCATTCAGACCGAGGAGAAACCGCCTGGGAGATGCCAACTTTGAGAAGCAGCTGATCTTGAATGCCAACAAAAAGATTTGAAGGTATATTAAATATTATTGTGATCTGTTTATTGGGCTGTAGAAGTACAATGTATTGCCAATGGAGATGACTATATTGATGTGCAGAGGTGAACTGCATGAAAATAACAGGGCATATCTTGTTTACAGGAAGAAAAAACAGCAGATCTACCAGGGAGAGACCACTGTGACCGAGGATCTTCATTCAGATAAGGGATTTTTGGGCTGGACAGAAAATAACACTGTCCTTGGCCCTGCATACTTTTCATTTATTAGTATTATTTTAGTTATTTATGTGGACTGTAACCAGTGACAGATAATCATTCAGTTAAGGTATTTTCACTCACTGGACAGAAAGTAGAAGCACAGTCCATGGCCTTGGAACCAGACTCTGAGTCTTTTAAGTTATTTTTTTTTTTTATTTTACTTATTCAATGGCCAAAAAATTGAAAAGTGGCTTAATAATGTTGAAATGTTTTGCACTTTGAATATTGCACTTTCAAGTTCAACCTTTAATTCCTACCTCAGCCTGGTCCCTCAGTTTTTGTTAGTTAAATGTTCTTGAGGGTTTTACTATTTTTGTAACTTGTTTGTTAAACCTGCCTGGTATAATTTTCCAGGATTCCAGTATTCCTTTTTAAAGATATTAAAAAAACATTTGCACCTTAAAGACTACTTTCCTGTTTTTCTTTTAATAATTCCTCATAAAAAAGACCATTCAAGCAGCACATTTTTCCTGATGTTTCTGAGAATATACTGTAGGGGTGAAAGCTGCAGCTGCTACTAGTGTGAAGTGAATGGACAGCAACAAAGCGTTAAAGCAACAATGGGGAAATGCTGTCCCCTCAATGCTAATGTAAACCCTGGTTGGATAAGGATTCAAAACTGGATATGAAGATGAAATCTGACGCACAGTTTCAGAGTTACAACTGATAAAATAATTGCTGTCTGTGGTTCTACAGGAGGCTATGGTGTAATTGAGCAATATATGAAAAAAAAAGAACTATGAACTAGTTCATTTTTTTGAATTATGAACTATGAACTTTGAACTAGTTCACGTAGAAAGAGAACTTTCCCCACACTGTTCCCGGGTTCCTGCTGCAGAGACGCCGTCCCCCCAGGTTCGTGCTGCAGAGACACCATTGTCCCAGGTTCCTGCTGCAGAGACGCCGTCCCCCCAGGTTCGTGCTGCAGAGACACCATTGTCCCAGGTTCCTGTTGCAGAGACGCCGTCCCCCCAGGTTCCTGCTGCAGAGACATCGTCCTCCCAGGTTCCTGCTTCAGAGACGCCATCGTCCCAGGTTCCTGCTTCAGAGACACCATCGTCCTAGGTTCCTGCTTCAGAGACACCATCGTCCTAGGTTCCTGCTTCAGAGACGCCATCGTCCCAGGTTCCTGCTTCAGAGACACCATCGTCCTAGGTTCCTGCTTCAGAGACACCATCGTCCTAGGTTCCTGCTTCAGAGACACCATCGTCCTAGGTTCCTGCTTCAGAGACGCCATCGTCCCAGGTTCCTGCTTCAGAGACGCCATCGTCCTAGGTTCCTGCTTCAGAGACGCCATCGTCCTAGGTTCCAACTGCAGAGACGCCATCGTCCTAGGTTCCTGCTTCAGAGACGCCATCGTCCTAGGTTCCAACTGCAGAGACGCCGTCCCCACGGCCATCCTTCAGAGGTCTTCTCCCTTGTGTCAGTTTCCTTCCTTAGCTCCCTTCTAGATGTTTCCATCTACACCTGCTCCTCGTGGGCTGATCAGCCTGGTCTTTGTTCCATCTCCAATTTATGCTCCTCCTCTTCAGTTACTGTTTGCTGGTTCCTCATCGTTTCTGGGATGCCCTGTGTGCTTTCCATAATGTCTCCTGATTTTTACTTTTCAGGATTTTGTTTGTGAACTTTGCTTCTGTTTCCACCATGTAGATAATTAAATTTGAAGGAAAACACCACAACATCCGTCTCTGCATTTGGGTCCTCTAAGACCTCCACCTTATATGAGAACAGGTCTATCTTCCTTCCTGGTCCAGCTAGGATTGTCTCCCACAGATCTGGTTTTGAGGGAATCCAGGCCACAGACTTGGAAATGTTTCTCCAGATGGGTGTCAGGCCAGTAGATGGTAATCTAAAGGAAATGGTTGGTTCGTCAAATGTTATTAAAAGGGGAAGAACTCTGGTCTAGTCTCTGGTGGCAGACCTCTAGTGTCTGTGGTCCCTGTACTGCTAACTGGTCAGGACGGGAATATTATTAGAGCTTGGTAGAACTGAATGTGAAGTGATTATAAATATGCTCTAAGTTCATGGTCCACACTAACACTTTAGTGTGAATATTGGCCATTCTGAGGGCCGGTAGCTTAGCCTGGTTGTCAAGGTAACGGTCTGTTTGTTCTCTACTCACTTTTCAAGCAGCTGAGTGATCTTTGGACTCCTCTGGTGAAGCTCTTCCTGATGATTGGTTGTCTGCTCTGCTTTGGTTACCTAACTGTCCGAACCGAACCTTGGGCCGTCCGGGTTGAGCCGGGGCTGTAGAGCTCCCTGCAGGCGGCTGGGTGACCTTTGCCTCACTTTTTTGGGTTTAATCGGGCCCTGTGTGACTGAGGGGGGGGGCGGCTGCAGCTCAGCGCTGATAAGGCCGGCTGGTACTGACCCAACCTGGACAGCACCGGCTGCAGCAAACAACAGACGTTCTGTGAGCCAATCACAACTGGAGGAGGTTCTCCTGGTTCCAGCCAGCAGCTTTGCTCCTCTCGCTGTGAACTTATTAAGCTAACGCTAACTTTTATCGGGTTCTGTTACTGTGCAGCTGATTCTGCTCTAATCAGGTATTTCCAGAAATGACTGACTGGATCAGTTCTAGAAGCTGCCAGTGTTTGTCTGAGCAGGTCTGCTGGTTGAAGGAGGTTCACAAAGGGTTAGACGGTCTTCTTTCTGCTCACATGAAATTAATCCTCTCCTTTAGCAGCAGGTTCTGACCGTCCAGGTGGACCTGAACCGAGGAAAGCTCCTCTGTCTGGATCAGTGGTTCCCAGACTTTTCTAGTCCTGAACCACAATCAAACTTTTGAGCCAGAACTAAAACACCTCGGTGCGTTCTACCAGTTGGTGTGAAATGGAAGCTGTTTGGACCTGGGAAGTTCAGGTCTGTTGGTGCTCAGCCCAGCCATCAGTCCTACCTGTTGAAAATAGCAGGACACTTTCTCCATCTTTATAAATCTGTGGAACCGTTTGAGGCTGAGAACAGAGCCCTGTGGTCCTCCCACTATAAACTTCATCAATCTGCCTTCCTATAGTCATTCTCTGCACTTCCTGGTTCTTCTCTGTGGGTTGGCCCCTATCAGAGCTCTGGTGCTCTGCTGTAACCCAAACTATGAGGCTAAATGGAAGAAGGCTGGAAGAGCTTCCCTCACTTCTTTCTGCTAACTGATAAAAAAATGAGTATTTACCGTCTGAGGAAAAGACTCAGAATTAGTGTCAGATATTTGTGCTGGGAGAGGAGATCCTCATCTGGAGGCTTTAGGACCTGCTGACTTGTTATACTTGTTATGCATCATTAATAACCTTTATAGAAGCTCTAAATCATCTCTGCCGTATTCTAGAACTGCAGAGGAGCGATGCAGCGTCTCTGAAAGCTCGTTTGATGTTGGGAGCTTTGGGGACCAACTGTATAAAATAAGCAATTCCTCCTTTAACGGTTAAAGCTGATCCTCAGATGACCAGAGGTGATAAAAAATATATTTTACTTTCATTACTTTTATCTTAGGTATATTCCTCTGAAGAGTCGATACTTTTACTGGACATTGCTGGGACTCGTTGCTGTGATAGCGCTCCGGTTTAGGCTTCCAGAACATCTCAGCGGTTTGAGATCAGATCGACTGTAAAGATGTTATATTAGTTTAATTTAGAGAAATATAAAGAGCAGCGTTTCTTCTGTCTGAATTTGTTATTTTTTCTTCATTGTGTTATAAATCATTTTGCATTGCTTTTTTTTTATTTTAGGTTATACTTTAAAATACCAAAACGTTCTCCTAACTGTCAGATGACGTCATTGGAAGAATTAAATCAGATTAAGCCCATTTTTACTCGGACATTTGTGGATGCTTGCTGTGGAGAACATTCAGAGCCTCCTACTCTGAAGAGGAGAACATTCAGAGCCTCCTTCTCTGTGGAGGAGAACATTCAGAGCCTCCTTCTCTGTGGAGAACATTCAGAGCCTCCTTCTCTGAAGAGGAGAACATTCAGAGCCTCCTTCTCTGGAGGAGAACATTCACAGCCTCCTTCTCTGTGGAGAACATTCAGAGCCTCCTACTCTGTGGAGGAGAACATTCAGAGCCTCCTACTCTGAAGAGGAGAACATTCAGAGCCTCCTTCTCTGTGGAGGAGAACATTCAGAGCCTCCTTCTCTGTGGAGAACATTCAGAGCCTCCTTCTCTGAAGAGGAGAACATTCAGAGCCTCCTTCTCTGGAGGAGAACATTCACAGCCTCCTTCTCTGTGGAGAACATTCAGAGCCTCCTTCTCTGAAGAGGAGAACATTCACAGCCTCCTTCTCTGTGGAGAACATTCAGAGCCTCCTTCTCTGAAGAGGAGAACATTCAGAACCTCCTTCTCTGGAGGAGAACATTCACAGCCTCCTTCTCTGTGGAGAACATTCAGAGCCTCCTTCTCTGAAGAGGAGAACATTCACAGCCTCCTTCTCTGTGGAGAACATTCAGAGCCTCCTTCTCTGGAGGAGAACATTCACAGCCTCCTTCTCTGTGGAGAACATTCAGAGCCTCCTTCTCTGTGGAGGAGAACATTAAGAGCCTCCTTCTCTGGAGGAGAACATTCACAGCCTCCTTCTCTGTGGAGAACATTCAGAGCCTCCTTCTCTGAAGAGGAGAACATTCAGAGCCTCCTTCTCTGGAGGAGAACATTCACAGCCTCCTTCTCTGTGGAGAACATTCAGAGCCTCCTTCTCTGTGGAGGAGAACATTAAGAGCCTCCTTCTCTGGAGGAGAACATTCACAGCCTCCTTCTCTGTGGAGAACATTCAGAGCCTCCTTCTCTGAAGAGGAGAACATTCAGAGCCTCCTTCTCTGGAGGAGAACATTCACAGCCTCCTTCTCTGTGGAGAACATTCAGAGCCTCCTTCTCTGAAGAGGAGAACATTCACAGCCTCCTTCTCTGTGGAGAACATTCAGAGCCTCCTTCTCTGGAGGAGAACATTCACAGCCTCCTTCTCTGTGGAGAACATTCAGAGCCTCCTTCTCTGAAGAGGAGAACATTCAGAGCCTCCTTCTCTGGAGGAGAACATTCACAGCCTCCTTCTCTGTGGAGAACATTCAGAGCCTCCTTCTCTGGAGGAGAACATTCACAGCCTCCTTCTCTGTGGAGAACATTCAGAGCCTCCTTCTCTGTGGAGGAGAACATTCACAGCCTCCTTCTCTGTGGAGAACATTCAGAGCCTCCTTCTCTGAAGAGGAGAACATTCAGAGCCTCCTTCTCTGAAGAGGAGAACATTCAGAGCCTCCTTCTCTGAAGAGGAGAACATTCAGAGCCTCCTTCCCTGAAGAGGAGAACATTCTGAGCCTCCTTCTCTGTGGAGAAAATTCTGAGCCTCCTTCTCTGTGGAGAACATTCAGAGCCTCCTTCTCTGAAGAGAGGAGAACATTCAGAGCCTCCTTCTCTGGAGGAGAACATTCACAGCCTCCTTCTCTGTGGAGAACATTCAGAGCCTCCTTCTCTGAAGAGGAGAACATTCACAGCCTCCTTCTCTGTGGAGAACATTCAGAGCCTCCTTCTCTGTGGAGGAGAACATTCAGAGCCTCCTTCTCTGAAGAGGAGAACATTCAGAGCCTCCTTCTCTGGAGGAGAACATTCACAGCCTCCTTCTCTGTGGAGAACATTCAGAGCCTCCTTCTCTGGAGGAGAACATTCACAGCCTCCTTCTCTGTGGAGAACATTCTGAGCCTCCTTCCCTGAAGAGGAGAACATTCTGGGCCTCCTTCCCTGAAGAGAACATTCACAGCCTCCTTCCCTGAAGAGGAGAACATTCTGAGCCTCCTTCCCTGAAGAGGAGAACATTCTGAGCCTCCTTCCCTGAAGAGGAGAACATTCTGAGCCTCCTTCTCTGTGGAGAAAATTCTGAGCCTCCTTCTCTGTGGAGAACATTCAGAGCCTCCTTCTCTGAAGAGGAGAACATTCAGAGCCTCCTTCTCTGGAGGAGAACATTCACAGCCTCCTTCTCTGTGGAGAACATTCAGAGCCTCCTTCTCTGAAGAGGAGAACATTCACAGCCTCCTTCTCTGTGGAGAACATTCAGAGCCTCCTTCTCTGTGGAGGAGAACATTCAGAGCCTCCTTCTCTGAAGAGGAGAACATTCAGAGCCTCCTTCTCTGGAGGAGAACATTCACAGCCTCCTTCTCTGTGGAGAACATTCAGAGCCTCCTTCTCTGAAGAGGAGAACATTCACAGCCTCCTTCTCTGTGGAGAACATTCTGAGCCTCCTTCTCTGGAGGAGAACATTCACAGCCTCCTTCTCTGTGGAGAACATTCAGAGCCTCCTTCTCTGGAGGAGAACATTCACAGCCTCCTTCTCTGTGGAGAACATTCAGAGCCTCCTTCTCTGAAGAGGAGAACATTCACAGCCTCCTTCTCTGTGGAGAACATTCAGAGCCTCCTTCTCTGGAGGAGAACATTCACAGCCTCCTTCTCTGTGGAGAACATTCAGAGCCTCCTTCTCTGGAGGAGAACATTCACAGCCTCCTTCTCTGTGGAGAACATTCAGAGCCTCCTTCTCTGTGGAGGAGAACATTCACAGCCTCCTTCTCTGTGGAGAACATTCAGAGCCTCCTTCTCTGAAGAGGAGAACATTCAGAGCCTCCTTCTCTGAAGAGGAGAACATTCAGAGCCTCCTTCTCTGTGGAGGAGAACATTCAGAGCCTCCTTTTCTGAAGAGGAGAACATTCTGAGCCTCCTTCCCTGAAGAGGAGAACATTCTGGGCCTCCTTCCCTGAAGAGAACATTCACAGCCTCCTTCCCTGAAGAGGAGAACATTCTGAGCCTCCTTCCCTGAAGAGGAGAACATTCTGAGCCTCCTTCTCTGAAGAGGAGAACATTCTGAGCCTCCTTCCCTGAAGAGGAGAACATTCTGAGCCTCCTTCTCTGAAGAGGAGAACATTCAGAGCCTCCTTCTTTGAAGAGGAGAACATTCAGAGCCTCCTTCTCTGAAGAGGAGAACATTCTGAGCCTCCTTCTTTGAAGAGGAGAACATTCAGAGCCTCCCTCCCTGAAGAGGAGAACATTCTGAGCCTCATTCTCTGAAGAGGAGAACATTCTGAGCCTCCTTATCTTGAAGAGGAGAACATTCAGAGCCTCCTTCTCTGAAGAGGAGAACATTCTGAGCCTCCTTATCTTGAAGAGGAGAACATTCACAGCCTCTTTCTCTGAAGAGGAGAACATTCTGAGCCTTCTTCTCTAAACATCCAGCAAGAACCCAAAAGCACTGAAACCCTCAGCTAGTTTTTGTTAACAAACAGCGAACCTGCGAGACTAAACTGAGGGCAAAGCCCCCGTGACGCGTCGCCAACCTAAACAACGGGAAAGGGTGGGGCCTATGGGAGTCATCCAATCAGAGAGAAGGCGTGCTTCCGCAGAAGAGCGCCATTGGCTGAAAGTTTGTGTTCCTGTGTTTATTATATAAAGGCTCCAACCTGCTGCAGGTCCAGCCAGCCTCTCCTTGCCTAACATGTCGGTAGACAGCGTGTTCCGGACCCGGTCCCTCGGTGTCGCTGCCGAGGGGCTACCCGATCAGTACGCCGACGGAAAGGCGGCCAAAGTGTGGGAGCTGTACATCGGAGACACCCAGAGCCGAACCCAGGAGTACCGGAGCTGGGTGGTTTCCCTGCTGAGGCAGCACGGCGTCCGGACGGTTCTGGATGCGGCCTGCGGTACCGGGTAAGGCTTCCGGGTTTAGGAAGGTTCTGATCAATCGGTTCTGTTTGGATGGGTTCCTGGTCCAGATTATTGTTGAACATGAAGCGGGAGGAGCAGCCATACCGGGACACACTCTATGGAGGAGGATCAGCTGGAGCAGAATCCCAGGATGGTTCTGGTTCTACGGGGTCCAATGTGATCGGTCCTCCATCCATCATCCACCCATCATCATCATCATCCATCCATCCATTCATCATCCATCCATCATCCATCCATCCATCCATCATCCATCCATCCATTTATCATCCATCCATCCATCCATTCATCATTCATCATCCATCCATCCATTCATCATTCATCCATCCATCCATCCATCATCCATCCATTCATCATCCATCCATCCATTCATCATCCATTCATCATCCATCCATCCATTCATCATTCATCCATCCATCCATCCATCCATCCATTCATTCATCATCCATCCATTCATCATCCATCCATCCATTCATCATCCATCCATCCATCATCCATCCATCCATCCATTCATCATCCATCCATCATCCATTCATCATCCATCCATCCATCATCCATCCATCCATTCATCATCCATCCATTCATCATCCATCCATCCATCCATTCATCATCCATCCATCATCCATCCATCCATTCATCATCCATCCATCCATCCATCCATCCATCCATCCATCATCCATTCATCATCCATCCATCCATCATCCATCCATCCATTCATCATCCATCCATCCATCATCCATTCATCATCCATCCATCCATTCATCGTCCATCCAGTCATCATCCATCCATCCATCCATTCATCATCCATCATCCATCCATTCATCCATCCATCATCCATCCATCCATCCATTCATCATCCATCATCCATCCATTCATCATCCATCCATCCATCCATCATTCATCCATCCATTCATCATCCATCCATCCATCATCCATCCCTCCCTCCATCCATCCATCATCCCTCCCCATCCATCCACCATCACTCCCTC